GATCTCTGTGAGTTTGAGGTCAGCCTGGTCTATAGAGTGAGTTCCAGGACAATAGGGCTACACAGAAAAACCCTATCTTAAAAAAAAAAAAAAAAGAGGAAACAGTTTATTTGGGCTCGCGGTTTCAGTCCACGGACACTTGGCCATTAATGATGAGACAATACATCGTGGTGGAGATGATATAGTTCATTAGTGACAATCCCCTAAAGGAAGCCTGGAAGCAAAGTGAATGGGGAAGAAGCTGGGCTTTGTGCTTTCCACGAAGGATACATTTCCAACAACTGAACTCCCACCCTCCTGAAGGTTCTACCTCCTCCTCCTCCTCCGAGCACCAACAGGCTGGTGACCGAGCCTTTAGTACGCTGGCCTTCAGCACGTATTCAGAGTGTGACATTCTGTCCCTGCCCCTAAAGGCTATGTCCATTTCATAATTGGTTTCTGAAAGAGTTCCCCAAGTCTTAACTGCTTCAGAGCCATTCATAAGCCCGTGCCCAAAGTATGCTTTGAGACTCAGGGCAAACCCAGCTGAGAAGCTGTAAAAAGTAACAAGATTATTTATGTTCAGGGTACAAAGACACAAGGTAAACATTCCTGTCCCACAAAGGAGACAGGTGTAGAAAGGATCAGATTAGCGCCAGATTCAAAGCAAGCAAAACATCAAACCCTACATCTGCACATCAGGCGTCTGGTGCAGACAGCGGCAGCGTGTGAAATCCCAAGGGCTCGGCGGTCTTGCCTCGCTGACTGCAGCCCACGCATCCGCACTCCGCGGCTGGCTGTACTCACCTCATGAGGCGTCCCTTGGTGGCTCTGTCACCTCTTGCTGGGGGTCTCCATTATGGCTTCAGCTTTACTCTCCTGTTTCCAATACATTGCCAGCTTAAGAGCTGGTGATGGAGACTCCTGCTCCGCTACACAGTGCTAAGCATCCCAGGCCGACTTCTGAGATCTTGACTCCGTAACTCTTGCATTTTGAATGGCTGTAAAACCAGCATGATGTGGATGACGCCAAGGCCTGCCACCGGCACACGCTGTACAGGGTCCACGTGACCTGCAGCTGCAGTCATCTGCATGTCTGGATATGAGGAAGGCGTTTTGGGGTAACATTTGCCAAATGGCCCTGTGGAAGGAGGCTGTCTGGGGTCTCTTTAAGAAAAATGTCTGTATCCTATGAAGAGGCAGTCTGACCATTTCTTGAGGTGCCTTCAAGGTATTCTATTATCCTGGTGCAAAGTACTTGGCTTTGTTTTTTAAATATATTTTTATTCATTCTTGGAGAATTTCAAGCACATTTTCATTATACCCACCCCTCCTCTACTTCTTCCCAGATCCACCCTCCCTTCCTAACCCATTCAACTTGGTGTCCTTTTGAAAATTAATAATAATAAATACATCTATCAAGACCAATTTGTGTTGCCCAACCTGTCTTGGAGATGTGGCCTCCCACTGGAGTGTGGTTAACTTCACAGGGGCTACACTCTTCGAGAAATATGACTCTCCCACCAGCAGCTAACAGCAGCCAACAGCAGCTCATACGGGAGTGGGAGGCCCAACACTCCTCTTCATGGTAAGAACTGATCTGTCTGGGGCTTGCACAGGTCTTGTGCATGCTAGCACAAATGCTGTGAGCTCAGAGGCGCAGCTGTCCTAGCCGTCAGAAGCCATGTTCCTCGTAGTCATCTACTGGATGTAGATGTAGAGGTAGATCCATCTACCTCTGGATCTCACACTCCTAGCCCCTCTTCCGAAGTGATCCCTGAGCCTTGGGCCCACTGGGACCTGAGCAGTCTGCAGCCTCTCATTCCCTACACCATGACCAAATGTTAACCACCATCTACTGCGCATGGAGGCTTCTCAGATGAGAGCTGAGGATGCATTCATCTATGGGTGTAACGGTAAATCGCTAGGGGTCAGTTTAATATTATTAAGCAGAGTAACAGTAATAGGTGCTCCCCTAGAGCCTATGAACTCCCTATGACCTGTCTAGCCGTGGTTCTTGGTCTGCTGATAATGCCAGGTGTAGGTTTTATCTTAGGGAATAGGATTTAAATTCAATCAAAAGGGATTGGCTATTCCTATGATGTTCGCGTACTATCGTGCCAGAGGGTATGTCTGGCCAAACACTCATTATTGTAACTCATGAGGCTCACAGCCAGCCAAGATTGATGATGACTTTTCACCCTGTGGCGTGCTTAGCACCTTCTAGTACCATGAAAGCTAGTCAGCAGGGATGAAGCTTCCAAGTCAGCACCAGCTTCATTTTCCCATGTCCTATGACTCGAGTAAGTGGTACTTCAGAAACAGGGTCTTACTCTCAGGCTTTAGATGGTGGCCAGAGCATAGGTCACAGCCTGGGATGTCTGGCCTTGGTCCTTACAGAAGAGCCTGTTAACCCATACTGACACATCCTAGGCTTTCTCTAGCTTGCTTCTTCAGACTTTTCCAGATTCCTTCTACAAATCCATTTTAAAGGCTTCAGAGCTACACCGTCAATCACAATAGCTACCCTGTTGTGTGGCTTTAATTTCATCCAAATTGAATCATTCCCTCCTGGAGGGAAGAGGGAAGCTCAGCAGATTCATGAAACTCACAAGAGACTAGCGGACTCCCAAGGTTCATTCCTGAGTTTATAAAAACAGAAACAATGGCCTGGGAAGAAGAAACTTCCCGGTACTGTGTCCTGTAAGTTGCACAGGTTACCCAGGCTAGGGTGGGCTTTCCATGGTGTAGCTTCCCAAGTCACCCACAATCCTGGAAGAAAACCCTCCCCCATATCCCTATAAGTAGCCACAGTGAACTCACTGGTTCTCCAAGCTGGATTTAGGCTGAACTGTTTCTTTGTTCTGTTCCTACCCTTTTATCTAGGGGGACTAGAAGTAGACTCCCCAAGAAAGGTCACACCACAGATTCCACTTTGGGGAACTAATAATCTATTAGCTCACTGTTACTATGGGAAAATGCCTGAGATAACCAACTTCACCAAGAGAAAAACTTGTTGTAGTTCCTGGTTTCAGAGGCCATGGTTGGAGGGCCCACCGCTTTGAAGTCAGTGGCAAAACAGTATATAATGCTGAGGGAAAGACAATGGAGCAAAGCCGTCTACCTCGTGGTGGCTGAGAAGCAAAAGAAAGGGCTAGAGTCTCAAAATCCTCCTCAAGGGCACACCTCTAGGGACCCAACCTTGTTCTGCTAGGGCCTACTCCTAAAGGTTCCACTGCCTCCCAAAATCACCTACGTCCAAGAGTCCAAGCTTTCAACAGATGAGTCTGTGAGGGACATTTATCTAGAGTACAGACTTTCACTTACTCTAACATTATCAGAAAATGCAAATTCTACAGGCTCCATCCTCCAGAGAGTGCTTATTTGAGTCTAAACAATTAATATATTATCAATAAATGAGGATTTTGCTAACTTAACAGCTAAGAGTTTGAAATCAGATGCAAGGGTTTGGGAGTAGGTGAGTTGGGGCCCTTGGGATGAAGTTTAACTGCTTTATCCATGATACAGTATCCTGTCCTGACTGATGACATACCTGGTAATAGGCTAAAACTAGATTATAACTAAAGCATCCAGCATGTTGTAGGATATTATTTTAAGATGTGTTACATTTGTTTATGCTGTGGAACATTTGTTTAATGACGCACAGCTGCGTTGCATTCTTTTATGTTGCATTTGTTTAACTCTGTGAAGCTGATTCTTTGCCTGTCTAAAACACCTGAGGGGTTAATAAAGCGCTGAATGGCCGATAGCAAGGCAGGAGGAAGGACAGGCGGGGCTGGCAGGCAGAGAGAAGAAACTGGAGGAGAACTCTGGGAGGAGAGAAGAAGGAGCAAGAGAGATCTAGGAGTAAGAAAAGAAGGGGCCAGGCACGGAGTAAGAGTGAAAGTGAGATATACAGAAGTAAGAAAAGGAAAAAACTCAGAGGCAAAAGGTAGATGGGTGATTTAAGTTAAGAAAAGCTGGCTACAAACAAGCCAAGCTGAGGCTGGGCATTTATAAGAATAAGCCTCTGTGTGTGGTTTATTTAGAGCTGGGTGGTGGGCCCCCCAAAAAGCCAAAAGAGTAAAACAACCAACAATACCAGCTCTAAGATTGTATGATTATAATCACTGGGGTGAGAGATAATTGAAGCATTATAAGCTATGACAATGTGCTTACCTCAACTCAGAAGAGAAATTTTTGTTAGCTTTTGAGACAGGGTCTCATAATGCAACTCAGACTGACCTAGAACTCACAGCAATTCCCATGCCTCTGCCTCCTGAAAGTAGAGACGACAGGTGTGAGACACCATATCCAGCTGAGAATACCTTTAAGCTTGGAAGATGGTTCTTCCAAAGAATTATCAAAACAAATATCTGCCCCCCTTTGATATGGGATCTATGTAATGGCAGTCTGTTGTTCTGAGGTCAGGGATAAACCATGCACACTAACAGCGCTATTAACCAGAGAATGGGGGAGGGGGACTGAAGTCATTACGAAGACTATGTCACTGTGTGTATGAAGTCATTACGACTATGTCACTGTGTGTATGAAGTCATTACGAAGGCTATGTCGTCACTGTGTGTATGAAGTCATTACGAAGACTATGTTGCTGTGTGTATGAAGTCATTATGAAGAATATGTCACTGTGTGTATGAAGTCATTACAAAGGATATGTCACTGTGTGTATGAAGTCATTACGAAGGCTATGTCGTCACTGTGTGTATAAAGTCATTACGAAGAATATGTCACTGTGTCTGCAGGAGTTACCTGTCGTAAGTTTACAATGAAAGATAGTTACAAACTTAGATAACACAAGAGCCATTCCACATGAGCATCTAAGAAATAAAGTAACCTAAGAAGTTTCTAATCACTCTTTTTCACTTATTAAAAAGAAAAATGTGGTAAGGAGCCAGGCAGTGGTGACGCATGCCTTTAACCCCAGAATTTAGGAGGCAGATACAGGCGGATCTCTGTGAGTTTGAGGCCAGCCTGGTCTACAAAGCAAGTTCCAGGACAGCCAGACCTGTTACACAAAGAAACCCTGTCTCAAAAAAGAAAAAAATAGCTTCGTAGTAAGTGTGGTGGTTTGATTAGGAATGGTTCCAATAGACTCATAGATTTAAACGTTTGCTCACTAGGGAGTGGCACTATTAGGACCTGTGGCCTTTATAGAAGAAGTGTGTGACTGGGGATGGACTTCGAGGTTTCAGAAGCTCAGCCAGGCCCAGTGGCTCATTCTCTCTTCCTGCTGCCTGCTGATCCAGAAATAGAACTCTGAGCTACTTCTCCATGTTGCCGCGATTCCCACCATGACAATAATTATTAAATTTCTAAATCTGTAAGCCAGCCACAAACAGATGTTTTCCTTGATTAAAAAGTTGTTGTGCAGGGCTGGAGAGATGACACAGCAGTTAAGAGGACTGGCTGCCCTTCCAGAGGTCCTGAGTTCAATTCCCAGCAACCACATGGTGGTTTACAACCATCTATAGTGGGATCTGATGCCCTCTTCTGGCATAAAATCATACATGCTGATAAAGCACTCCATACATAAAATAAATAAATATTTTTTTTAAAAAGTTGCTGTGGTTATAGTGTCTCTTCACAGCAATAGAATATTAACTAAGACATTAAGTCATTATTAAACCAAGTAATTGGCTTAATTCACATAGAAGTATTATATATCACACATCTGTGAATACAGGACAGATAGAATTTTAAAGTATATGTATAAGCTGGGCGTGGTAGAACACACCCATAGTCCCGGCTACTCAGGATGCTGAGACAGAAGCTTCACTGGAGTCCAGGAGTTTGGGGCCAGCCTGGATAATTTAAGAAGGCCCATTCTGGAAATTCAAAACCACACAATTATAAGCTTTTACTAAATTTGGAAAAAGTTCTAATGGTCTTCAACTATAACCGTATTTGCCAACACTCCAAGGATGAATTTCCTCACAGAGTATACGTTGGTAGGCTTTCACCAGGGCAGCTGGACAATGTTCTGTGGCTACCTGCAGTTATTACTTCAGTTCTAATGGACAATATTAAGCCAGGTTAAAAATTGCTAATCTGTTACAGCCTATATCAAATTGAAAATAATTTCACATTTTCGTAACTGTATACATGCCCTAAGAGATGTGTGGTTGCTCACTAAACCCATAGTAATTTCTTGGCTTCACTTAATTGTATTTCCGATGTGAACCGGGACTATGATATTGGCCCATTTATAAATAACAGGAACAAAAAGCCCCAGAGTCCCAATGACCGAAACCAGAAGAAAAGTCCACAGAAACATCCGGTCAAGAACTTGTGCTATGAATTTCCAATCTTCAACAACCTGTTAAAAAAAAACATTGAATACAAACATCAAACCTTATACACATTTTAAGATTAAAAAAAAAACCCAGAAGATAATCATTTGCTGTCTTCAAAGCATAAGTGATCCTGTGCCCAGGTCTCGGAGATAAACTAGTATAATTTATTAAATCCCATTCCAGTCTAAATCACTAGCTGACCAATATTCTCACCTTTTAACATTCCACTTTATAATGGTGCTTTAATTATACTACCACTACATACTACAACCAACAAGCATTAGTTTGTTAGAAGTGAACTAGGCAGGGTGGCACATGCATGTGGTACCAGCTGCTCGGAAGACTGAAGCAGGAGCAGCCTGAACAAGCGGGGCCGCATCTCAAACAATAACGAAAAGTTGACTCAAAGAGGAAGGAGGAAGGGGGGAAGAGAAAGAGATGGTAAGGAGAAAAGAAGGGAGAAAGAGAGGGATAGAGGGAAGGAGGGAGGGAGAGGACAAAGGCTGTCAGGGAAAGGGAAGCTGGGAGCGTCAGACTATGAAACAGTAGTAAAGACTGCACTGCTATTTTATCAGATTCATTGCATCTATGACTCACACCTGATAGAAAATCTCCATTTAAAACACTTTAGGAATTAGAATTTGGGAGCTGGTGAGATGGCTCAGCAGTTAGGAGCATTTACTGCTCTTGTAGACCAGGGCTCAGTTCCCAGCACCCATACAATGGCTCACAAGCATCTGTAACTCCAGTTCTAGGGCCTCTGAAGCCCTCTTCAGACCTCCTCAGGCACCAGGCGTGCATGTGATGCACATACATACAGGCAGAAAAACACTCATACACATAAAGTAAGGAAATAAATCTGAAAAGGGATTAACAAAAATATATTAGAATTTACATAATCTTAATGGGACCACTAAATGTAAACTCAGTTATAAAATATTAATAGGCATAGCTTTAAAGATATTATATAATAGAAAAAAGGAAAATGGTGACCATTGAAAATTTGAAAAAAACCAGCAGTTCACAACTATAAATTGATAAAACACACATCCAGTATTTGCATTTCAAATATCAATTAACCTTTACAAGCCAACCAAACTTATTTTCTCTAAGACTTTAAACAAATTCTGTTTTAAGCACATTAGATACTATTACTGCCTCACAGGAGAACCTTGAAGTATAAACATAGCACATGAGCACACCTAACTCCTTTTCTAGTTTTATGGTTTTTTAAATTTCATTTTGCTTTTATGAAAAATAGACTACTCCCTATGTAGTCTAGACTGACCTTGAACTTGCTAAGTGGCCCAAGACTTTCTCAATCCTCCTGTCACAGCCCCTGAATGGTGGGATTATAGGAATGCACCTCACTCCTTTCAATTTTCCTAATGAAAAACTTTACTAATCTTGTAAATGAGTCACAGTAAGATGCTTTTCTAGAAAAGTATCTTGACCATACTTATAAAGCCTACAGTAGGCTCATTCTTCAAAAGAAAATTAACTTTTGATAAATTATAATGCCAAAATTCAGAAACAAAGTTAATGAAGAGAAATCTAAATCAGTAAATCATCCCATTCCAGAGCCAAAAGTTATGGCGAAAAATTACCATCCTGTCACATGCACACTGTTAAGCTTTCTTCATTCAAGATGCTCTGGTGAAATGGAAAAGTGAGATTTGGGCAGATGCCCCATTTTGCAGGGCTTTGCAGGGCAACAGATTCAATACCCGCCACAGACCTCTCGGACGTCGTTCTCCTTCCTGACATGCCTCGTGATGTAGCGGATGCAACCAAGCGCAGCTTCCAAGGTGTTCCTAGACTTAGGTCCACGGCCATCCTCGGCTTCTTCCCTCTGAGTGAAGTACCTGTCGACGTGACTTCTCATGCAGAGCAGTTTGGGGAGCTTGTGAAGAAATATCTTACGGACCCAAGGTGCCATAGCGTTGTGCGTTGAGGAAGAGCGGTGGTGGATGTTGATGGCAAAGACAGTCACCATGATGGAGAGCGTCACGAAAATCATGGTGAACACCAAGTACTCCCCAATCAGAGGTATGACTTTGGACGACGAGGGTATGATCTCTTCGATAACCAGGAGGAAGACGGTCAGAGCGACGAGCACTGACGTGCACAGGCTGATCTTTTCACCTTCGTTTGACGGGAGATAGAAGACGACCACGGTCAGAAACGAGAGCCCGATGCAGGGGATAATGAGAAATAAGGTATAGAAGAGAGGCAGCCGCTTAATCACAAAGGAGTAGGTGACGTAAGGGTACCAGCAGCAGCTGTCAGTCCTGTTCCCTTTGAGCCCCACGGCACTCATGATTTCCCATTCTCCATTGTCAAAAAAGTCGGTTCGGTCTACGTTTTGGTCCTCTAGGATTATATCAACCTGGGATCCATCATACGTCCAAGAGCCGAATTTCATGGAACAATTCTGGAGGTCGAAGGGGAAAAACGTGACATCTATAGTACAGGAACTTTTGTAGTTTGCTGGTTGTGTCCAGGTGACAGTGCCATTGTACTTGACAATCGTTTTGGTGCTGGCCCCTTCAAAACGTCCATCTGCACTAAAAGAAACACACAGTAATGGTGCCTAAATTAAACAGCCCAAGCACACATTTTAAATGCCCAATATAAAAGGAAACCTGTTGGTAACAGCATGAAATACGTTTGAAATTCCTATGTGCCCAATTGCTTGCTCCACCCATGGGGCCTTGCTTTCTGGACATCTTCCTGACATGTATAATTCTGCTGGAACTGAATCTACTCTCTCCTTTGTATTGTGAGATGGGCAAATCCACGTTTATTAAAATTCTGAGATTTTTATAGTTGAAAAGACCTCACTTGACATACAAATAGAATCAGGCTGTTTCCATACTGGGCATGCACAGAGGCAGTGCCTGACTCTTTATCTCCAGACTTCCTCTTCCACCAGAGAACTTGCCCAAGGCAAGGCCTGCCTGGACCCTCCTGTACTAAAGAGGCACAGCTGCAGGTAGAAGCCCCAGCACCCAAGTTCTTCACAGCAGTCCTGCTGTGTAGCTTCAGGTTCATGGATTTTTTTTTTCACAATATTGATCTATGTTTAGTACAAAAATGTTTTAATTACAGAGAGCATCCAACGCTCAGGGAGCTGTCCTGTGCTACATTACAAGCTTTCTTCATCCTTCCATATTGAGGAACACGGAGATAAAAGGTTCCAAAAGATTGGTTTTGCACAGCATTTTCTGTCCTCATGCCAAGGCCGTTGTGCAAACAGGACAGAGTGCTTTCAGCTGCTCAGAGGGAGGTGATGTACAGGGAGTCGCCCCGAGCTACCTTTCACGCTTTCTTCATCCTCCCATATCGAGGAACGTGAGGTAAAAGGTTCCAAAAGATCATTTTTTGCATAGCATTTGCTCTAAAAAGCCTTGTGCAAATAGGCGAGGTGCTTTAGTATAAATGCAAGCTCTCCTACTTACTCTGAGATGGCCCTGGGTGGGGAAAATACAGTTGGTACTGACAATTATCCTCAAAGCACTCCTAGAGAGGCTGCCCATGCACGGGTTAAAAATTAACCCTGAGCTCCTCCCCATGGGAAAATGGCAATATTGTGCTATTATGATGGCATCTCTAGAAAATATTAGAAGACAGTGCTGAACATAAACTGTAACCACAACTAAAATCAAATGCCCCCAAACATGGAAGTCTGACTTGAATAAGGAAGCAAATGGAGACATCACAGTGTCTTGGGGTGAAACATCACTCTGCCACATGAGAGCTTTGTGACCCTAGCAAAGTGTAACTACCATAGGTCCATGTAAGACAGTTGGCACACCCAGCATTTAAAATTGCTGTGAACACACTGCCAGGCACGTAAAAGTTTCCTGTATATGTGAGCTAATCAGAAGCATGACCTCTCTCCCCACCCATCCTTATTCCTTTCTGTGTTTGCCAAGTCCTTTTTTCTTATCTCAGAAATCAGGTAACACTTTTATGACAAAAATAACACACTAAAAAGACAAAGGATGCATAGCACCCATGAAACAAATAAGCACAAATTCAAGTCATTTGATTTCATAGCTAAACAATTTGCAGATGCGAGGGAAAAGGTTACTAGTGCCTGGTAGTAGCAGAAGTTTTCCTTCGGAAATGTAAAGAAATATTTAGAACATAACTTACTTGTCAAACAAAACGATGTCCGGGATCCACAGAGAGTCTGAAGGGACACGTATAATTTTTATTCCGCCATAGTCATCAGGATTCCATCTTAATTTTACATCCATCCATTCCTTTAAAATGAGAAAGTCGACTCCATTTCAATCAATCATTTTTAAAATAAGCTAAAGCTATGCTTTCTGTCATACCCAGAACCTTTAGACATGAATCGTTTCTGCCCCTAATTCAGAAAACCTTCTCAATACTACCACCCTGCCCCACTGTGCACTGACCCCAGCTGTGGTCCTGATGAGGCACAGGCGAGAACCTGGACTGATGCATTCACGGTTCTCGACTTGTCAGGCATAAATAATCAGAGACAGAGAAAGAATAAACAATGGAAAATATCCAACAGCAGCTGGAGACATACGTATGGTGGTCCAGAATTAAAATAATTCATTACAGAGGGGCCACTAGGGAATGGGAGGGGTGCTTGAAGAGGAGGGTCATTACATAAGGATGGAGGGACATACATGGTGTATGCATGGATGAAACTATCACAGGGAATCCCAATAATGTGTAGTTGGCATGCTAATAACTATAATAATGACTAGTTGCATTCCTGTCCATTCCTGTTGCACTCAAATTAAAAGCCAAATCCCGGGGCTAGGCAGATGGCTCAGTGGTTAAGAGCACTTGAAGTTTCTGTAGATCGGGTCCGGTTCCCAGCATCCGCATGGCAGCGGACACCCCTCTACAATGCCAGTTCCTGGTGATGCAATGCCCTCTTCTGGCCTCCTTGGGCATTTCATGTACATTAGATGCATGCAGACTAAATGCTCATACATAAAAATAAACGTTTTAAAAAATAACTAAAAAATAAAAGGTAAAAATCCAAATCCTTGCAGGGTCCTATAAGCTACTATTCTACTGGCTTCTCATTTTTCCTTTGACTTCCCCCATCTCTACAGGGCTCCCCATGGCTCACACACCTTTAGCCACAATTACTAGATACAGTTCAGCCTCTGGACCTTTTACTTGCTGGTCCTCTACCCAGAACACTCTTCTCCCCTAGATGCCCATAAGGCTTGCTTCATCCCCCCCGCCCCGAGACTTTCTATGAACTTTGCCTTGTTGGCCACATAGGACCTATAATAAAGAGTGGACAAGCTGTTAGCTGGGCACCTGCTTGACTGGCATACACACCTGTTTCAACCAGACGTTTGTTGTCATTAGCTGGTTTTTCTCATCCTATTTAAAAAAGAAAAAGAAGAAAAAAGGTTGGTTCTTTCTGTTCCACAGCAGTAATTCCTTAAGAGTGTGTACACTGTGGCAGCTGCTGACTATCACTGCTAAGCCTGAGTTCTAACTCAGAAAAGGGTACCTTTCTTTCCCTTTCATTTCTTCTTTGAATATCAGCCAAAACCCCAAGTATGCTTTTCCAGACACTTTGGCTTTCTCAGTTTTTCTGAAGACCCTACCTACTTTATGTAGCGGCTTGCAGTCTTCCACGGCTGACCCCATCTCAAAAGGAGTGGCTTTCTGCTCCATATTCCTCCTTCCTGAACCTTCCCCCCAATGTACTTTCAACCCCCCATCCACTCCTCAGAAAGGGTATGACCTCCCATTGGAGTCAACAAAGCATGGCATATGCCTTGAACACATTGGCACAGGAGGCTACTTTTTAAATATAACCCCAGTAGCAAGACACTGCGACAACAATTAATAAATGGGACCTCCTGAAACTGAAGAGCTTCTGTAAGGCAAAGGACACAGTCAGTAAGACAAAATGGCAGCCTACAGAATGGGACAAGATCTTCATCAACCCCACATCTGATGGAGGCAGGATATATAAAGAACTCAAGAAACTAGACATCGAAATACCAAATAATTCAATTTAAAAAAATAGGCAACAGATCTAAACAGAGAATTCTCAGCATTAGAAACTCAAATGGCCAAAAGACATTTAAGGAATTGCTCAGCATCCTCAGTCATCGGGGAAATGCAAATCAAAATGGCTCTGAGGTACCATCTTACACCTGTCAGAATGACTAAAATTAAGAACATTGATGACAGATTATGTTGGAGAGGATGTGGAGTAAGGGGAACACTCCTCCACTGCTAGTAGGAGTGCAAATTTGTACAACCACAAACTTGGAAATCAGTATGGCGGTTTTTCAGAAAATCAGGAATCAACCCACCTCAAGACCCCACAATACTACTCCTTGGCATATACCCCAAAGACGCTATTTACCACAAGAAGACTTGCTCAACTATGTTCATAGCAGCATTATTCATAATAGCCAGAACCTGGAAACAACCTAGAGGCCCCTCAACCAAATAATGGATAAAGAAAATGTGGTATATTTACACAATGGAGTATTGCTCAGTGGTTACAAAAAATGACATTATGAAATTTTCAGGCAACTGGATGGAACTAGAAAAAAAATCATCCTGAGTGAGGTAACTCAGACCCAGAAACACAAACTTGGTACGTATTCACTCATAAGTGGATATTAGATGTAAAGCAAAGGATAGCTAGGCTACAATCCACAGCCCTAGAGAAACTAGGTAACCAGAAGGACCCTAAGAGGGATGCATGGATCGCCCTGGGAAGGGGAAATAGATGAGATCTCCTGGGCAAACTGGGAGTGGGAGAGTGGAACAGAGAGGACTTGGGATGGTTGAGTTGGGGAAGGGACAGAGAGGAAGATCAACGAAAGAAATATCTTGATAGAGAGGGCCATTGTGGGGTTAGGGAGAAACCTGGTGCTAGGCAAACTCCCAGAATCCACGAGGATGACCCCAACTAAGACTCCTAGCAATAGTGGAGAGGGTGCTTGAAATGACTTTCTCCTGTAATCAGATTGATGACTACCCTAATTGTCATCATAGAACCTTCATCCGGTAACTTACGGAAGCTGATGCAGAAGTCCACAGCCAAGCACTAGGTCAAGCTCTGAGAGTCCAGTTGAAAACTCACAGAGACAGCAGACCTGGGCTTGTAGGAGCTCACAGACACTGGACCAACAGCTGGAGAATCTACATGGGATGGAACTGGGCCCTCTGCATGTGGGTGACAGTTGTGTAGCTTGGTCTGTTTATTTGAGGACCCTCTAGCAGTGGAACCATGATCTATCCCTGGCACATGAGCTGGCATTTTGGAACCTATTCCCTGTGATGGGATGCCTCGCTCTACCTTGATGCCGTGGGGAGGAGCTTGGTCCTGCCTCAACTCGATAAAATGTTTTAATATCTTTGAATTTGATTAAGGACAGACCTAGCATTCGCAAATGAGGTAAGACGATTTACTACACAACAACGTGTAAACAGGGCATCGCTACACCTGTGGCGCACTAGTCATTGCTCCCTAGTCAGCTCCTTCAGGCAAAGGACTACGTCTGGCCGCCTTGGTAACCTCTGGTGTCTGACATGCATCTAGGAAAAAACTGACTTTACCTAAAATCGGTGTGAAATGGACTACGTAAGAGCAGGCAGACTTACCACGTCCACCAACTGAGATATTGCAAGGCCAAACTTGATCTTTATTTTGTCACTCAGGTGTTCCACAGGACGAACCCACCTTTCGTAGTCTTCAAATAAATCCTTAAACAAACGGTCTTCGTGTTTTGCAGCAGAGGACAGCTCAGGCAATCCTGCATAACAAGTTTGAAGAAATTAGTAAGATGGCTGCTCTCCCCCCAAATACCTATACTTTAAGAAATCAACACTGTTAATGATCCAATTAAAATTTAAGGTATTATTGTTTTAGGTTTGTTTGTAACAGGATATCAAGTAGCCTGGGCTCCCTTTGGATTCCCTATGTAACCAAGTATAGCCTTCAACTCCCGATCCTCCTGCCTCTAATCACCCAAGTACTGAAATTATAGGCATCTACCACTGTATTCATCCAGATAATTTTTAAGATTTATTTTTATTTTAAATTGGGGGGAGGATGTGTGCACCCCCATGAACGCAAGTGCTCCAAAAGTTCAGAGGTGTCCAATTTCTCCTAGAGTTGGAGTTATAGGCAGCTGTGAGCTGCTTGATGAAGGTGCTAGGATTGGAACTCAGGTCTTTTGCAGGAACAGCATGTGCTCTTAACAAATGAGAAATCTCTCCAGTCCCCTGATGTGGCTTTCAAAACAAAATATTAACACAAACACTATTAGAGATACTCTGGGTCAGATATAATTCTTAGTTAATCATATTACTCACTATAGAAATATGCTGAATTTTTTAAATAAACACTCAGTACTTAATACAGAGCAACTTAATAACATTTAGGTACCAAGGGCTTGGAGTGTTTTTCTGTGGTGGACTGCAAGACTTGGAATCAGTCCCGGGGTCAATCCCTCACACTGACAAAACAAAGAGTAAAGGCCTTTCGATTGTCAGGGCTACGGGGTCAATATCAAAATCCTAGAAAAAGAAAATAGATATACATCTATTAACTGGAAATATAAAGACATGTACTTTAGTTGGCATAATTTTATATATAAAATACTGAATGAATTATTTAGATTTGTATTGCTATATATTTGTACAAAACTACTTTAGGCCCTAAGTCTTACGGAGGCGCTGCAGTGTTGGAGCTTCTGCTCAATCTATTTATAGAGAGAATTCCATGAGATCATTCCCAAGAACCATAATCACAATCTTCCCCCTGTCAGTTTTTCCCATCGCAGTGAGTGACTCCGTCGCCTGTCTGGTTCTGTCGTCTAAAAACCACGACTCACACTTGACACCACTTTCTCCCTTACAGCTACACAGAATCCACAAGCACACTGTTGGCCTTGCCCCTACAACTTCATGCCCCTAAATGCATGTATTCCCTGCTTTCTCTGTTGTCACCCGCCTACCACAAGCTAGCTGAATCCCTCCCCAGGACTAGAAAAAGTCTATCGCTAAAAGTGATCTCCAGGGTCAGGAGAGATGGCTCAGCTGTTAAAAACACTTGTTACTCTTGGAGAAGACCTGAGTTCAGTTCTCAGAACTCACATGGTGGCTCAATCCCATCCATAACTCCAATTCCAGAGGCTCCTACACCTCTTCTGACCACCCAGGACACCAGGCACGCATACGGGACACATACATACATGCAAACAAAATACTCATACACATAAAATATAGTAAGTAAATCTAAAAATAATCAAACTGTACTCTAATTGTCCCAAATGAGGGACCTCCCCAAGTCCTGGGGCACTGAGCGGCATTAACTGCTGTTAAAGTCAGTTACCACTATTAGTTAAGGACAAGGTCTTCAAATGTATATTGTAAGCATCCTCTCTGCTATCATTGTCTGATTAAATAAGCACACACTGGGGCATGGGGATAGCTGAGGCCCTAATTAGCAGCTCCTGAATTCTGCCTTGATCCTCTGGATGTCTTGAACGAAAGAGCTAATGGGACTGACAGCTAACCAGACTGCTCTGAACACTCTACAGATACCTCCAGAACGCAGCTGGATGACGCAGCTGATCGCTGAGTGCAACCTCAAGGCTATTTGAAACAATTTGTGTCAGATTTTTTGTTTCCATAAGCCTCAGTGAACTCTAGCCCACCCTGCAACTATTTCCACTTTGGCCAGAAGGGGAGAACTCCCACCATTACTTTAGCCGAGGGGTTTCTGGGAGGTAAAGGCACATGCCACCAAGCATAATGACCTGAGCTCCATCTTTGGGTCCTGCACAGTGGAAGAAGACAGACTCCTGAAAGTTGTCTTCCTGCGTAGCTTCCACAAGCATCCCAGACAGCATCACTGGAAGCAGGCACCCAGCAGAGGCCGAACTGGGGCAGCCAAGCTGGGGTAGCCAAACAGATCAAGAACAGCCAGGGAAGAAAAAAAGAGAGGCAGAAACAGAGATAGCAAGAGAACAGAAAGCTGAAATGAAGAATACAGGCTGTAAGGGGTCGGAGAGGAGAACCTGCAGGCTCTGCTTGGCAGAAGAGGTCCAGAGAACTCTCGGGTCTTCAGAGCCAGCGTCTGTCAGCCCCTAGCTGAGAGCTGTCACCACAGCCATTGCCAAGGGCCAAGAGTTCTGAAGCCTGAAGGATGGAGCAGTAGCGGATGCCGCTTGACTACTGCTGCCAAACACTGCCAGGAGCGAAAGCTGCTAGACGCCAGCATTTGAGGAGTTCCTCTGCCTGCTGGAGGCTTCTGTCCAGGTAGAGAAGAGAACCATGAGCCAACTGAGCTGTGACAGAGCCATCTCTGCAGCTCCTCCCCTGCTCACCACGGCTTGGTTCTCTGCAGAGACCCAGGCAATCTTTTCAAGACATGGACTGACCGATGCTAAACATTGGCCTAATGGACTTCTTCAGTTTTCCAGGGGTCTGTCCCTGGCCCCTGCTGGCATTGCTCTCCTTGGTTCCAACTGTACTGAAGGATCAGCTCCTGCTACACAGGTTCCCATCAACGAGGCACATGCCCTCCCTTCCCTGCCCTGGCCAAGTCACTCTTCAATCCTCAGGCGACATGTTTTCCTGAAAGCTTCTTTCCTACTCCAGTTCACACTGCATTAGCACCATGTCCTTCGTCTTTATCGTAGCTATGTGGATCTTGCGTGGATATGATTAAAGTCTGTCTTCTTCGCCGCTTTGCTCACTGCTCTCTCTAGCCCTGGGTAACACTTCAGGGTTCAGCCTATTCACTGAGTGAATACATGGCTGAATGCGTGAGCCGGTATTCACTTACTGCCATATGTTAACCCTCTTTTTTTCTCTAATGATTTTAATGTTATCTTTGGTTAGGGAACAACCGGCATGAGAGCTGTTGTCATTTCCTCCGAAGTTCACTAGACTCATCTTAAAATCAGAGACGCTGCCCTACCTACTCAGATTTGAACATAAAGAGCAACGTAACCCAGCTGATAAGAGTTCAAGATTTGAGAATGGCATTGTGGCATGCACTTACAGTCCCAGGTACTCAAGGGCAGAGATTCTCAACATTCCCAATGCTGTGACCCTTTAATACAGTTCTTCATAAAACTTTTTTCGTTGCTACTTTGTAACTGTAATTTTGCTACTCCCATGAATGTAAATATCTGATTTGCAACCCCTGTGAAAGGGTCATTTGATCCCCAAAGGAGTCAAGACCAACAGGCTGAGAACCACTGCTCAAGAGGCTGAGACAGGAGGATCACTTGAGTCCAAGGGCCATCCAGACCCCATCTCAAAAGCAAAACTTGGAATTTTAAAATGTCCAGGCTAGATCCCATTCTGGTTCCTAGTATTTATGAAGTGATTCAAGGCAAATCACCTAGCCTGTTTGCATCTCGGTTTCTACACCCAGGAAAACAGGTCCAGGACAGCAGCACCTACCCTAAGGGGCTACTGAGAAGGCTGTGTGTGTGTGTACAGGTGCCTGCACCAGCCCACTCATACTATCCTAACGAATAATTGCTACGGTAGTGGAAAGTTCTAGGCCTGCAGAGGCAATCACACAAAAACACTGCAATTAAAGCAAGCCACCCCCGCAGAGACTATCTGAAGCCTACCGATGTCCAACAAAGATAGTTTCCTGGCAGCCCAAGGCAACAGAACCTTGCAAATATACAGAGGAAAAAATGTGTCTGTGGCACAAGGCACTCTCAATGTACGATGACAGAGCTTTCTCCAAGTCTCCTGGGTGAGGGTGGTTGTTTAGGGGGTTTTTTGCTTTGTTTTACATTTTGAGCCAGTGTCTTCCTCTGCGACCTAGGCTAGCATTCTTGCTCTAGCCAGCTCTACTTCCTACCATTAAATGAACCTCTACTCATTAAAGCTAACAAGAATATTATCAGGGTACTAATTGCTCAGAAATCACATATCCAGGAAAAGAACAGGGAACCAAGGAGTTAAGCAGACTAGGAGAAGAACATAAACATTTCATGGGACAATTCTCCTGGAGTCTTTAAAAGAACAACAAAAGAAAAACTGAGCTGGACAGCCAAGATGTGGACATCCATGTATCACTAACACCTTGAAAGATTTAGATTTTGGTTTTATACAGTCAGTTTTAATCATGAATATCAACTGTGTCAAGTTGGAAGAATTGGAATAATGACGTTTAAATTTTTGCATAAAACCAGGGATGGTGGCACCTGTATGCACTGGTAGCTAAGGTAGGAATATCAAGACTTCCAGTCCTGCACAGGCTACACAGCAAGTCCAAGGTCAACCTGGGCTATCTAAAGCTCCTTAATTTTGTTATGGTGAAGAGGAAAGAACACAGAGCTGCAGAGCTGAGAGCCTTCACGGAAGGCTTGGCATTCCTCCAAGGCTTTGCCCTCTGCATGCTACAACTTCTAATCTGTACAGAATAGGGGCACCTCATTGGCCAAAGAGTTAATCATGGACAGAAAGAACTCTTAATCCATCATACTGGACCTTCCCTTCCCCTCAAGCTGGCACTCCTCAGGTACAGAGATTTGATCTAAGACCTTCTACCTGCTAGGCAAGTGTCTGTCCACCACTGAGCCACGCCCCAAGCCCTCCTCTTGCTTCCTGAGACAGGCTCTCAGTGAATTATTCCGCCTGAGCCTTAAGACTCACTCTGTAGCCCAAGCAGGCCCAGGAACTGTGACCTCCAGTTGAGGTTTATGTTAGGGTTAAGCCCCACGAAACTTCTCAGGATTCAGAAGGATCGCTATGCAGGCAAAAACTGACAAAAGATATCTGAGGATAGG